CGCCATGCCTGACCCTGCTCGGACCTCCTTGGTGCCGTACTACCCCAGCGGGGGCCTTCCAGATGCAGCGCCCTACCAGGTGATGAAGATGGAGTCCACCATAGCCAGGTAAGTACCTCGCCACTCTCCTACCTTACCCCCTTCTTCCTCCTCCTCAAGCTGGACCGCTCGCCATAGCCAGGCTGAGCTCCAGCTGCCTTCACCTCCAAGCAGCGCTGTATGGACCAGCGCTGCGCTCCAGCAGCATGTCGCCAATCCTTGCACACCGCAAATGAGGAAGAGACTCTTGCTCTTCCTGAAGATATAGCGGCCTACCGGCCTCCTGGGCGGTGACTTCCTAGGCCGAGCGGCCTCCCAGCAACCGGTACCTCCTCACTTTCGGAGGGAAACATCATTGCAGGCTCTGTTATTGTCCGGACAGGCCCTAGACCTGGGCTACTTGGACTGGTACCGGCCTACCTCTAGCCTACCGCTACTGGGCCTTTAAAAATGCCAACTTTTTGTCTTCTTCTGCTCGGCCTACCTGCTACTTGAGTGTTTTTCCCCAGCTGCTCTAAGTGCCGTGGGCCTACCCCCGCTACCTGCGTGTTAACCCCCCCTGCAACCCTTCAAAGTCACGGCCACAGGTAAGTACCGGCCCTGCGGAGCCTTGCAACCAACAGGTACCCTTACGGGTCACACACACACTCAACCGTCAAGCACTCAGACAGGCAAGCAAACGGGCAGGCATGCACACACACACAGACTTGGAAAACACAGCAGAATGCGGGAATCACGGCAAGGCATTCATTCCAGTGGCAAATCCCAGAAATCAGCAGTGTTCTCAGTCTGTGTTTTGGCGGGTCATTACAAGATCGCGTCTTTTCCAAGGAGCACGGAGGAGAGCAATAAGATCATGTTTCAGCAAGTCCGTTTTTGTGACCGTACGAATCAGACTATACACAAGAAAGGCACCTCCTCCTTCAATATAGGCTTTAGTATCCTTTAGCAACAATTTATTCTCTTGGCATTCTATTTTGGAAAAGCCAAACAGGAGGACAGCAAGACGCCAGGATTTTAACCATCGACCGCCTGGATTATTAGAAATTACCACCTGCTTCTTACCTTTCCCCCTAAAAACCAATTTCAAGATTTTTAGTAAGTCAGGTTCATTAGCAATCCCAATCTCAGGACAACTGAACCACAGGGGTTCAACCACCTAGGCGGGCGTACATCCTGTGACAGTCTTTGCCTTGCCTTAGGGTATATCTGTATGTATTCAGTTTTAACGTATTTGGACCAGTAACGAAAAAGTTGGCAAAAACACGAAATTGCTAGGCTACCAGCGGGGCCGCCCGGGTCACCCTATTTTCCCGGGCGACCCGGCCGTGCAAGGACCAGGGAAGGTCCTACGAAAAAATAAAAGTAAAAATCCGAATCAAAACTGTGTTACGCAGAAAAACAAACTGAACAACTTTTGCCTCAGGGTAACATGGAAATTTTTTTTATTTTTTTTTTATTTTTTTTGGCCCGGCCGGGCATGTGGCCCCAGGCCACTCTGGTCGCCTTGCCGAATTCGGAATTTTTTTTGGCGAAGTCCGAAAGCTACTCCAAATAGGGTTTTATTCATTTTTATAGTGCTTTTGAGTTTTGTTTTTTTTTCGTTTTTTTTTTGCGTGTTTGATTTTGTGATGTTTGTATTATGAGCCTGCATTGCTTGTTCACAAAATTTTCGACGACATTGCTTGTGGTGATGTGGCGAAAAACCCTGAATTTTGGGTCTTCCACTAACCATCTCTCGCAGACTGGCACACATTTTCTGGCATTTCAGAGCCTCTCGCTGGTAGGGTCTGGAGGGAGAGTACGCTGCATCCAGTTTTTTGTGGCCCTAGGCAGCCCGATAGGGCTGTGAAATGCAGACTCGAGTTTTTTTCGGTTTTTGGTGCAAGAGAGGGGGCAGCCATTTGGTTGAGTGTTTGTCTCCCAAGAGGGAGGTCGCGCGTTCAACTCTTGTGATCGACTTGTGAGATGCTTTCCTTGCATTGATGCACGTGACAACCTCTAGTGAGATTGCACACTGGGTGGTGGCCACGCCCTACGACCTGTGGTTGGGTACGAGTGACTGGGTACACCGGGTCGCGGAGAAATCTGTGCTGGGGTGGAAATAAGTGCTCATCTTGGGGCTTAACTTGCAGCCCAGTCCACTTAGCCGTTTGGTTGGTTGTCTGCCTGCCAAGAGGGAGGTCGCGCGTTCGATTCTTGTGATCGACTCGTAAGATGCTTTCCGAGCATTGCCAGGTTTCCTCCATAGGAATGTACGATCCCGCGAGCTCGTTGACTCTGTTGCAGAGTCAACGTGGGGGGCCTCTGGGCAAGAGAGAACTTCGGTGGAGTTTGTCTTCGTCTAGTAGGTTATTCACATTTTGCTCGACGTGGGGGGCCTGTTGGCATCAGAGAGCCTCCTATGGATGTGTAGCCACGGGTTGACCCAGAGAGCGGAGCGATCTAAACTATTCAGCTGAGACGATGTTACTACGAGCTTTCGTGCTGTGAATGACTTTGACTTGCTGTTGTACTCCTCTTTGTGGTAATCTTGTATTATGCTTGTGCTATTAAGTGCATTCATGCAACGCCATTTGTGTCCAACCGTTGGTTCGATGTCTGTGTCGTTTGTGATCCGTGTCGTGACAGTTTAATTGCTTATATCAGCCATGATTGATTGCAAACGACAAAATCTGGTTGCTTTGCGACAAAATTTACTTCTGCGGCTCTGCAGGATTAAAATGCAAAAAAAAACTAGAAGTAATTTGGGCCACATTATGGGCCTCGCCACACCGCAGTGACTGTCGAAGTGAAAAAAAGTATGAGTGCATCTTCCCGCAGAGAATGGCAAGATGCATCCCTTACTATGAATAGCAACGGATGCATCTTAGATGCATTCGTTCCTTTTTCGTTTTCGACAGTGGTCTGGCAAGGCCCTATCTCTACTTTGCTGTCATTTTGAGCTGTTGCAGGTCCTGCCACCTTCTCTCAGTTTCAAATGGCATGCCAGGTCTCTCCGTTTTTGGCCCAGATATGATCCTATCGGAATTCGGCCTTTCATTTTGACAGTCGAGTATAAAATGAAAGGCCGTTTTTTTTTTGTCAATTGAGCGGTAGGAGTAAGGCTGGTAGGGGAAGCTGCGATCACACCTCCAGCAGACGAAAACCGGCCTTTCAAAGAAAAGAAACAGAAAGAAGAGGGATGTTAAACCACCAAATGGCATGCCAGGTCTCCCCGTTTCTGGTCCGAATATGATCCTATAGGAATTCGGCCCTTCATTTTGACAATCGAGTATAAAATGAAAGGCCAGTTTTCGTTGATTGAGCGGTAGGAGTAAGGCTGGTAGAGGAAGATGGTGCCATCACACCCACCAGCAGACAAAAACCGGCCTTTCAAAAGAAAAAGAAAAAAGAAAAAAAAAGGGAAAAGAGGGATGTTAAACCACCACTACCTGTGATCCTGTGGTTTTCTTTTTTTGTTTTTTTTGGTAAAGGTCCAGGCCCCAGGATGTAGTAGAGGGTGGTGGTCAGGCCTCAGGAGGTGCCCGTAGTACTCATCCATTTGGAGGTCAGATGGTGCCATCACACCCACCAGCAGACGAAAACCGGCCTTTCAAAAGAAAAAGAAAAAAGAAAAAAAAAGGAAAAAGAGGGATGTTAAACCACCACTACCTGTGATCATGTGGTTTTTTTTTTTTTTTTTTGGTAAAGGCCAAGGCCCCAGGGTGTAGTAGAGGGTGGTGGTCAGGCCTCAGGAGGTGCCCGTAGTACTCATCCACTTGGAGGTCAGATGGACTGCGAGGACCCAAAGGGAGTCACCTTTTATAATTTAAATAGTACCATGACCTATGCTAATGCTGTCTCTTATACACATCTAGATGTGTATAAGAGACAGCCGATGAACAGCCGATGAAGAAAGGGGAAAAAAAGCGGTCAGATATACGACGCTACAGTACTAGTGTGAGTATGAGCTGAGTGAGGCAGTGACTGGCAGTCAGTTGCCCAGCGTGGATTACGCCCTGCCTAGCGGGCAGGGCACTAAAAGAAAATGAAAAGAAAAATAAAAAAACAGAAACAACACCAATCACCTTCCACACATACTGGCCAGATACATTCCTCAAAGCACTGGTGTGACTTCCACTGCCATGAGGGCCTTCT